TTTTTTTTTTTTTTTTTTTTTTTTTTTTTTTTTTTTTTTTTGAGGAGTTTCTTAAATTGATGATCAACGCCAGGAAACAGCGGTTCTGGTAATTTATGGTTGTCTTGGATTATGCTAGAAATGAAAGGAATTGGCTTTACATGAGCATTATTTGGAGATCCGATGGTTGACAAAAAAGGCCTAAATCATACCGTACAATTAGAGAATATGGGAAAGAAAAAAAGAAAAAAGAGTGGAGAAAATTGAAGAGTTTGTATCTGAACTGCGGAAATGGTTAGCTAGATGTTGTTCTTAGTGAATAAGTTAATAAAAATGAAAACTCAAAAGCAGGTCACTAACACAATGGTTTCGACTGCTTTGTGTATGCACTATTGACTATCCTGGGGATCTGAGCTATATAATTTCAGGTTATAGCAATAGATGCCAGTTTGTTCACTGTAAAATTAGCCTTCGTTGGTTACATCAAAGTGTTAAAAACATTTAGTGTACTTAAATCAGGTTATTATATTTCTAAGTTATGAGTAAAGCACTGTCATTGGAACTTAAGGATTTCTAGATTCGTACTTCCTTTGTGGTTGGTTGGTGTTTATGAGGCCAATCTTGTTAGATGTGAGATAGCTCAGCCACGTAGACCTGAATATGATGACTTTGATGCCCACTACTTTGCACTTAATTGGATATGCTTTTTTATATGCAGGTGGCATTGATGTGTTTGATTGAGTAAAATGTTTGATTGCAGTTACAAGTCACAGTACTTGGGAGGGCAGAGAGAGAAGTTTGTCAGGTATGAGATGTAACTTTTGTTTGGTTGCAAATTTTTAAGGGGCATCATTACCCAATATGAAGATCTGGATCAACTAGTCAACTAGTCATACCAACATTTGTACATGTTGGAATGACTAGTTGAGATATCATGCCTGCTTAAAAGTTTAGGATTCTGATGTTTCCATATCCAATAAAAAGACAGCAAATTACCTAACTAGCAAATGTGTTGTGATTTATGGTTGGAAAATTGTTTATGCAACTGTTTTACCTTCTAGATTGTTTTCTTTATAATTATTTCAAAATATTAATATTTGATTCATGTTGCATCATGTATTGATCGATTGAGATATTATAGTTCCTGGTTGTTGGCCCTGTTTATTTAGATTTGGGTCATTTGCTAAAACGGCATCGAATGTCGTGCTTATTGGCGCTTTTTATTTATTTTCCAGGCTCGATGACTTGGACTCTAGGTTATCATCACCTTCTGATAGTGGGGCAAGAAGATGTGGATTTAATATTGAGGGACTAAGCCGAACTGGTCCTGCAAGGGATACATCTTTTAAGAGAGGAATGAGAAAGGGGTCTGAAGGACTTAAGTCGATCGGTCGATCACTTGGATTTGGGATTTCTCGTGCAGTGTTCCCTGAAGATCTTAAAGGGTCAGACAAGAAGATATTTGATCCTCAGGACAAATTTCTCCTGTTGTGGAATAGACTTTTCGTCATATCATGTATTCTGGCAGTGTCTGTGGACCCTCTGTTTTTCTATCTTCCAGTCATCAATAATTCATCAAGTTGTCTTGGTATAGATCGAAGGTTGGCTATCATAGCGACCACATTGCGGATGATTGTTGATGCTTTCTATCTTATTCACATGGCTCTCCAGTTTAGGACAGCTTACATTGCTCCATCATCTCGGGTTTTTGGACGAGGTGAACTGGTGATTGATCCGGCACGAATAGCCAAGCGATACTTACGGAGTTATTTCATTATTGATTTTCTTGCTGTGCTACCCCTACCACAGGTAAGAGTGTGTTACCTTAAATTATTCCGCATTACTGTACCTCTTTCCTATAGTTTTGGCTTCTTTCCTTTTGTTTCTAAATTAGCATTTTTTATTTTGTAGTAGAATATCTAAAAGATACACTGAGCTGGATGTAACCAATATCAACTAAGTGTTAGCCCTATGCGCTTAAAACTAAAAGGCTGTAAATTGGTGCAGATTATAGTTTGGAGGTTTCTTCAGAGGTCCAAAGGTTCAGATGTGCTTGCTACAAAACAGGCTTTGCTTTTCATAGTTTTGCTTCAGTATATTCCCAGACTTGTTCGAGTCCTACCTTTGACTTCAGAACTGCAAAGAACAGCTGGCGTCTTTGCTGAAACTGCTTGGGCAGGTGCTGCATGTTACTTGCTATTATACATGCTTGCTAGTCATGTGAGTACCTTATTTGGTATCTACTCTTTATTGTTTTTTGCCTTGTTCACTTGCTGTATGTTATTCAATTTTCCTAATCTCCCTGTTAGGTTATTTGTCATAAACTTTTCCTAAGACCTTTTTGGCCTTATATTTTTCACATGCAAAATAATTTTGAAATGTAGTTGTATCTTTACCTTTATAACTAGTTGTCTGTTTCTTCATTATGTAGATACATGCAGTCTGTAATACATATATAATTATCCTCATATAAGTTGCAAACATACTGGACGTTTTCTTGGTAAAAAATGTCTCCTCCTTCTCACTCATGGTCATGTCTAATTCTATCAAGTACTTAATTTTTCTTTTAAGCTTCATATATTACCATGGGAGTTATACGTTTCTTTTGGGCAATTAATATCTGTTGGATGAATATTTGCAGATAGTTGGGGCATTTTGGTATTTATTAGCTTTAGAACGTAATGATACATGCTGGCAGAAGGCTTGTACTGATATTGGAAAACAATGTAATAAAAATTTCTTGTACTGCGGGAACCCAAACATATTAGATCCTGGGATTTGGTCCAATGTTACTGGAAACATCAAGTCAAATTGCTCAACAGATGACTCAAATACCTACTTCGATTTTGGAATCTACAAATCAGCTTTATCATCTGGTGTTGTTTCATCCAATAAGTTCCTCCCCAAATACTGTTACTGCTTATGGTGGGGACTACAGAATTTAAGGTAATGATATTTTCTTTTATGTGGTGGTTTTACTTGAAGTACAAAATATAAAAAAATACATTAATTGTTGTTGGTTAACTTTAGTTTCTCAGTGTAAAGATATTTTTTACTTCTTGGTTATTTGTTTAGCATAGCATGCCAACATACTCTAACACTCCTTTCACAAACTAACTTCTTGCATCTCCAATGATTTTCACTTATAGTTATTCCTATCCGTTGTCTCTTGTGGGCTTGAAAGTTTTAGCTTTTAACAGCATTTTCTATGACTTTTGTGTACAGTACACTTGGCCAGGGGCTTGCAACCAGTACCTATCCTGGAGAGGTTATATTTTCCATATCACTAGCTATATTCGGACTGATCCTCTTTGCACTTCTGATAGGAAACATGCAGGTAAACTTGCAAATAACAGTTTATGCTTATAACATCCATTTAGCACCTTTGTGTATAATCCTTTGTCTGATGGAGACTCTTGAAGCTTTTGGTGGTGACTCATTTTGGTACACGATATAAGATTGTGGCAATCCTGATTTTGGTCAGGCTTATTCTTGCTTTGGATGCTCTTTGGATTAAATGATGAAATAAATCTGAAGAGGTTGGTTCGGTTTCATATTAAAGTCATATTGGCTGCTTCGGTTTCATAGTCTTTAAGAGTCAGAGTGAGACAAAGATACAGATAGGAAATTGAACCTTTCCGTTGTGTATTTTTTGTGTGATTCTTTTCTTTTATCTTTAGATTTAATTGGGTTCCAATTTTTACTAAATATATGCATGTTGCTCAAATCTTACCATTGTAAAAATAATGCAGCATGAAAAGCAGAATATGATCTGATAGTGCTAATATTCTGGTTGTTGTGGTATTGTGACAGACCTACCTTCAATCTCTTACTATTCGACTTGAGGAGATGAGGGTCAAAAGACGCGATTCAGAGCAGTGGATGCATCACCGCTTGCTCCCACAAGACCTAAGGGAACGTGTTAGGCGATATGATCAATATAAGTGGTTGGAAACTCGTGGGGTGGACGAGCAGAGTTTGGTTCAGAGTCTACCAAAGGATCTTAGGAGAGATATTAAACGGCACCTCTGTTTGGCGTTAGTGAGGAGGGTATGATTAGTAATTCTTTCATGATTTGTGTATATTTCTAGTGGTAATTGCTTGCATATTTGTTGGTTGCTCCTTTAGATGAAGTTAGCTTTGCTTATTAGTAAATTAATTTCAGTTGCCCTTCTATTGTATCGACCTTTTACTTTGCTGGTTATTGCAGGTTCCTCTGTTTGAGAATATGGATGAGAGGTTGCTTGATGCTATTTGTGAGAGACTGAAACCAAGTTTATTCACAGAGAGTACTTACATAGTTCGGGAAGGAGATCCAGTTGACGAGATGCTTTTCATCATTCGTGGTCGCCTGGAGAGTGTAACAACAGATGGGGGTAGGAGTGGGTTTTTTAACCGCAGTTTACTGAAAGAAGGTGATTTCTGTGGGGAGGAGCTTCTAACTTGGGCGCTGGATCCAAAATCTGGTTCTAACCTACCATCATCTACTAGGACGGTAAGGGCTTTGACAGAGGTTGAGGCTTTTGCCCTTGTGGCTGAAGAGTTGAAATTTGTTGCCAGTCAGTTTAGGCGCCTTCACAGTAGGCAGGTTCAGCACACCTTCCGTTTCTACTCGCAGCAGTGGCGGACATGGGCTGCTTGCTTTATTCAAGCAGCATGGCGTCGTTATTCCAAGAGGAAAAACATGGAGCTTCGCCGGAAGGAAGAGGAAGGAGAAACAGAAGCGTTTGGAGGTGTACGAAGCAATGCTGGAGGTTCATATAGTATTGGTGCCACGTTTTTAGCTTCCAGGTTTGCTGCCAATGCACTTCGTGGTGTTCACCGAAATAGGAATGCAAAGAGTGCTCGAGAATTGGTCAAATTACAAAAGCCTCCAGAACCTGATTTTAGTGCTGAAAGTGCTGATTGATTTGTAATATATCATGACTCGTTCAGCTGATTAGTTTCTATTTTCTAGGTGGTCAGAAACAATGTATTATACACAAATTCCAGCTGGAAACGTGAAGAATGTTAAACGTGATGTTTCACACTTGTTTTCCATTGAGTGATTTTTTTTATAAAAAAATGTGTTACCTTATTATTATCATTTGACATAGATACGTTGAAAACCCTACAGAATGCCTGAAATTGCTTGCAAATTTTTTCTTTCTGCAGTATGTTGTTTACGATGTTCATATTAAAGAACCGAACCAAACTAGTCAGGGAATTGTACTTTATTCTTTTTTCACAAAACAAATTAGCTAAATCTCTAAGGAGAATGGTGCCAATGCCATCAGTGGCGCATTCTCAACCATTGATGAGCGTGGGCCCCTATCAATGGCTGAAAAGCCTTCATGCACCCACTAGCCACTGTAGGCCTCAGATCTCCAAAGATATATTTGACAAGACGAATAACAAATGAAGCAGTAGCAGTGTTAGGTACAACAGGAATTTCCATTTTCATTCCTAGAATAGGCATTGAGCCATTCACGACAGGAAGATTGACAATTCTCTCAAGTGTTAATCGTATGGAACAGAAATAAGACATGATATAAGAACAAATAAACAAAAAGAACTACAACTGACAAAGAACCTGTATAGAGAAAGGCTAAGAATAAGAATTTCTATGACTCAAGATTCAAAATTGAACCCAGTTGGTAGCTCCACGAGGACATTCTACAAGTACCATCAAGGTGAATTCCGTGCTTACTCGTGCAGAACAAATGAACCGTTTCCTTTATAGTAGGACTACTAATCAGTCGATCTTCACTGATGAATAGATGAGCCTAGTAAACCAGAAGCACGCATAGAAACCAATAGTACCAGTCAGCACAAAGAAAGAATAAGAAGCAATCAGCATATACCCGAAATATAAGGCTCCAGATACTGGCTTCTTAATGTCAAGCTTAGTGAAGAAGTAGAAGGCAGCGTAGAGAAAAAGGTAGAGTGCGGAGGAGCCTGAGGTCAAATATGACCTCCACCACCAAAGGTAGTCTTCACTGCATAGCTGGAAGTAGCATAGCACAATTGTGATCTCAGCACAAGTGATGATGAGTATAATGAAGACGATGAAAAGGAACCCAAATATGTAATAGAATTGATGCAACCAGATCGATGTAAGGATGAAGAAGAGCTCAATAAAGACGGCCCCAAATGGGAGTATGCCTCCAATTAGGATAGAGAAGGCTGGATTCATGTACCATGCCTGTTCCGGGACCTGCCTAGGGATCTTGTTGGTTTTCACAGGATCCTCAATTGCTGGCTTCCTAAATCCCACATATGCACCAACGAATATAAGTGGAACTGAAATGCCAAACCACAAGAATACCAGAGCAAACATGGTTCCAAATGGCACTGCCCCAGAGGATTTCTCTCCCCAGATAAGAGCATTTAAGACAAAGAAAATGGCAAAGACAGTTGCAGGAAACATGAAAGCTGTTTTGAGAGTGATTTTCTTCCATTCTGTTCCCTTAAACATCTTATAGAGACGGGCTGAAGAGTACCCAGCAAAGAGACCCATAAAGACCCAGAGGAGGAGCATGACAGTCATCAACCCACCTCGGTTTGAGGGGGATAGAAATCCAAGGACTGCAAAGAGCATGGTGACAAGAATCATCCCAAAGAACTGCACACCTGTCCCAACATACACACACAGTAGATCTGAGTTTGATGGAGGTCTGAATACATCACCATGAACCAGTTTCCATCCTGTCTCCTCTTGGGCTTCTTCTTGGGTCTCTAGTTGGTTGTACTTGGAAATATCCCGGTAAAGTGTCCGCAACATGATCATAGCCACCATGCCCGATAGGAAAAGAACAATCATCAAAGAATTAACAATTGAGAACCAGTGGATTTGATCATCAGCCATCAGAAGATATGTGTCCCACCGAGATGCCCACTTCACATCACTCTCCTACAAGGTTAAATAAAAGGCAAAAATATCAAAGAGGGGCGATGTCTGAAACCCAACTCAAAAAGGCAAACAAAGAAGTCTTTTCTTAGGGATGGGCAAGGTCACCAACCTGGAACTCAACATCATAGGTGAATATAATTTCCTTTTTATCTTCAACCTCCTGAGGAGATTCAGAGCTGGTAACTGTGCGCTTTGCATGGGGATCACAAGTTGTTAATCGTGTCTTCTTACTCCACTCACCTTCATATTCATGCTTAACACTGCATTCATCAATATTCACTATCATCACACAGGTATGAACTTGCATTGCAGAGAGAAAATAGAAAAAACTAATTAGACTATGATAGAAAAGAATCATAAATACATACCTGAATGGTTTCACCTCAAATCCCACAATCCTGGCAGATTCTGTCATTGGATCTTTATGATACTTGACTGTAAATGTTAAGTGATTGTTGATAAAATGCTTTTCATCCTTGTTCTGTACATGTTTTAAGGAAAAAAAAGGAAAAATCAGAACTCTTCCATAAGAACATCACCAAAAGAATTAAGATCATATATAGAATGCTAATTGGTCCAACAGCTACCCCAGCATATTGCCCTCTGAGACCAACATGAAAGCCATGTTGATACACTAAGGAATTTTCCTGATCAGGCCTTGGTACAGGAACAACCAGAGGGAGATTATCCAGAATCCTGTCATTTGACAAAAAATATCAGAATGAAGTCAACTTTTCATCACAGAGGACCATCATATGTATAATCTTCATAATTAGTGCCTCACATGTTGACCCGATACTCATCATCTATCTTTTCCTTAAATTCCTTTGCAGATTTTTCATTAAGAGTTACATGACATACAACATTGCACATCTGTGGTTCTCTCATTTTGAACTGCAACAAGAAATAAAATAAAATTCTTAGCAGGTCAATAACCAAAGTGAAGGACAACACAAGCATAACAGTAATACTCTTTAAAAGCTACTTTACCTCGTAAGGAGAGTTTTCAATACGATCACCACGAAGAACTTCCCCAAGATTCTCTGCACTGTCAACTATATGCTCTGGACGACAGTATGGGAGGGAATAGTATGAATAAGGAAGTTGAGTTTTTGTAGAGGTTACTTTGTTCACTTTCGGATTCAATGGATCTCCCTGCACATATGAAGGTCCGAACAGCATGAATACAATTGTAGATTAAAATAATCCATACAATTTCAGGTCACCAGAGTCAGTGGTCATCCTAGGTGAGCATAATTCCTTACTATCACACAAAGGAAGTCCATTGAATGATTCCTTTCAAACGCTTTTGTTCTTTAATAATATCCATACCCTATCGTTTCTTTCCCAATTGCAAAGTTGAGAAAATATTTCAGTTTATCAAAGCTATTCAACACATCATAGCGTTTTCTTTTCCTCAAATATTGCATATCCTTTATCATTTGGACGACAAGACAAGCTCTTAGACTTCCTAAACGAATCAGAAAAATAAATTTTTGACAAATTAGGACTGTACTTATAAATGTGCATCTATATATTGGCATTGCTGTAATCGAAAACATATATGTCAATCTAAAGTTCACGCAATATAAGAAACCAACAGAGATTAACAACGTTCCAAGCCAAAAACATACAGAAAAGCAGCAAATTGAACTTAGATCTCAATGAACAGCGTCATAAAATCGCATATTTATACAAAGTTTCACCACAAGACCCGAAATTGTAAACACCCAAATGTTAAACTTCACACGGATCCGAGTGTAACTAAGAAACAAGCGCCAAAAACCATCATGGTATATATTTAATTAAACACAGAGGTTCATTATATATATATATATAGAGAGAGAGAGAAAGAGAGAGAGAGATACAGAGAGTTAAAGATTCTGACATTTTGAAAATCTTGAGGGGCAACACCAGGGAGATAGAAGCAGCGAGCACGAAAGAAGAGCAAAAGACACACAGAGATCCATAGCTGAAAAGCGAGAGGTCCTCTCGCCATGGCTTCTTCGCACAAGATCTAGATTCACTTGCACTTTCTCTCTCTCTCTCTCTCTCCAACTCTGGGACTCTGTATGTTGGTGTGATTGTATCAATGTATCACCCAGTGGTTGGTTCTCTGTTGCTTATAAAACACGAGAAGAACGAGACAGCGCTCCAAATGGTTGGGTTGGGAATTGGGGGATTTACAAGACGAGGCTGACCATTTGAAATCTCGTTATCGCCGTTGGATCTCTTGCGTGGCTCTGATGTGCGGTGAAGATTGGCTTGGACTTCACTGACGGACTGACGGTGATTACAAGTTTTCTCATAAACAACATTCTTATCTCTCTCTCCTAGTCGAAGTTCTATTCTTTGTATATTGCTTGTGAATTAAAACGATGCACTTCGAGTGTTGGCAAAAAAATCATTGGTTTGAGTTCTTGTAACTCAAGTCGTTGTGCACTGACTTCTTGTGCGTCTAATTCCCTACTCTTTAACATCATTGGCAGTTCAAAAAGGACTTTGTTTAAGTTTAATTTTTATTATCATATTTCACTGATAATTCGCTATGTTTCGAATATAAATCCTAAATAGTAGACTCTGACCTCCTTGGAGCTTCTATAGTTTTCATTTTTGCTTCTTTTGTAAACAGAGCGTATAAATTTCTGTATGAAAACCTAAAATTCCATATTGCTTTGTCAATGGTGTTTTAACTTTTGATAATGTAATTTGATGAAGCCAAAAGCAAGAATCTTTGCTTGAAATGTAAAATATCAGGTACTAACCCTGCTTAATTTTGACCCACCGCAATAAACCTCTTTGATTTTTTCATTAAACGAAAACGAAGAGGGGGAATTTTCTCACTGTCCAAACAATTCATAGTACGGCACAAGGGCATTTCCTAAAGAAATGTTCAATGAGCATTTACAAAGGCTAGAAAGAAGACTCCACTAGGAGTAAATCAAATTCCATTCTATTAAACTCGAGGGTAAATGCAATAGTACGTAAGGTCATACACTTGAAAATGAAAATGAAATTGCATCCACAACCTCTTTTGATGCACCTTAGAAGAAATTGAAGATCTCTGTATAACAATTAAAAGTTGAAAAAATTGTACACAGAATAACACTATTTAAATCCCATCAATTATGAACAAGATCTTCAATGCTCAGAGCAGACAAATAGGGAGGTGGTGGTTCAAAACAGATGCATATCAAATTTCTTCACGAGCAGGTGGGTCAAGCACTCTCACAGTACGAGGAAGCAGAAACTCAGCAAATATGGGATAGTGGGAGGATGGATAATATCCATCAATGTTATCATTCACCACTTCACACAGAACAGGAATAAGAGATCTACCTCTAAAAAGAATCCAATCTATGTGCAGATCCTGTGTTTGGCGATCCCAACAAAGGCAGAGGGCTCTGAAAATCAACTTGAGGAATTCAAGAGCTCCTTGTTTGTCACCTGATAGCGTCACGTGCTATAGAGTTAGGTCATGCTCAATGAGCAGCATTGAGAGTAGTAGTTGCGTAGGTACCTTTAAATCCATGAAAAGTGCGAATAAGAGAGACATTTTTCCTCACACGGGCATTAGGCCATGTATCCCTCATATCCCCAACTGCACCGTGCTCTCTGCAGGCAAGCCAAGAGAAAAGAATTACTAAAGAAGAACAAAGATTTTAGACAAAAGCCACCAGTTATCTGGTGAGTTTCCTACCAGAAAGAGACTAGCATATAAATTTTTCCCACAATATATCTAAGTAGGATGAATTCGGTACTACCAATTCTTAATGAAAATCCTATCCACCAAACAAAAAGCCGGTGGTAAAAAACAAAACGGGTCTAGCGGGTTTGCAACAGCAAGAGGGGATCAGAAAGAGGACAATAGAATGAGGTGTCGAAGATTTCTGCCATGATGAAGTAGTACTTTAACTAGAGTAGCAAATGAAGGATGCTCCTTTCAAAATTATGGCAGCTCACAAAAGCATCAAAGTGTCATATCTGTTTTCCAAAATCCCTAACCTTTAATTTTTTATGGTTGCTCATATTATTACTTTACACTCTTCAGTTTCCTATGCATATGGGCTCTTATTATTATCATTATTTTAAATGGCAACTTGTAATAAATATGGAATTAACAGCTGGTGCATATAAAAACAGTTGAATATTCTCATGTTAATGGAACCTTGATCTCCCCAAAAGGAATCGCCCAGCTGTTGATTCCTTTTGTGTGTTGAATCCTCCACAATATACAACTGGCAGGCTAGGTGGTAAAGATGCGATGTGCTGCCATGTGAGCAAAGCACTTCGCCTACGGGCACGAGGACTGAACTCATCCATGTTTGTATTTACTATCTGGAATGAAAACCCAGGTGGCTCAACTCCTTTCAGTTGAAATGTGTGGACATCATGTCAAGAAAACAAATGATATAGCATTCTTCCATAGAAAGGTTAAAGCAGTTAGTGAAGATTATTAAAGTTTGAGAAAGTAATATGGTAAGGATATCACCCATGTTGCAATACATGGAACTATGGAGCCCCATGACATGCTTCCAGGCACAGAAGGTGACTCAGACAACCAAAATGTTCCACCTTCAAGCAGCTCCACCTTCATTTTATAAAGGAATGGCATAAAGAGGTCCCACTTTGCAAATTATTCTGACAAATGACAACAGTAGAAAGTTATTCTAGCTCGCAAGAAAAGGAATTATACCTTCTCCTTGTCATAGAAGATGGTGCAATGTTCATCAGAAGTGTCTTCAGGTCCTTTTCTTGATATTCCAAATTGATCATAACCTATCGAATAAGATACAATAGTCCAATCAGAAGTGGAAAATCCAGGCTTAGGATAAAGATGAGGAGAGATCGGATAATGACAAATGGATGCCAGCAAACCGTTCTTGAAAATGGATCAGTGTGAAACACTGAAATAATCTTGTTTGTGAGAACATGAACAACACAATATAGAAGAAACAATGACGAGCATTTTTCATTTTATGCATGGTTAAGTTATAAGTAAACAAACTGGCTGACACCGTTATGTGTGTGCATTAGAATACATAATTAATAATGCTCTCTTGTCAAACTGTCAAGAAAGAGATCATTATATATATGTGAAATAAGGCGAAGCTTCACCAACTCAATTGCAATCTTTTTCCTAATTAAGCAAAAAAAAAACATGACCTTTAGGCCTTATGAACCACTCTCCAGAAGAAACAATCAATTGAAGCATGCATTCAAGAAAGCCAGCAGTAAAATGTTCGGTCATCTGGTCATTTTAAAACACTGCATTAAAGCGCAGGGCTAAACCCCCCGTTCCACAGCCATATGAAAAAAAAATACCGATGCTAACTCTAGGAAATGAAAATTTAACTTATTGGAGAGCAAGTTACCTGGAAAACACTGGTGAAGATAATCCAATTGTGATTTAACTCCTGAAACAGAAACCGATACAAAAAAAAATTCAGAAGCAAGATACATACCAAATATTATATCAACATCTAAATTACAGTATAACAATCAGGCATTTTGAACAATTAAAAATGTAATCCAAGACACCAATTATATTCCCCAATTCAATCATCCTGCGAGAATGAACATGACCAAGTAAACTAAGAAGCCTTCAACCCAGATAAGATAACTCATGTGTCAACTGTGAAACTAAGCTAAATCCTAAAAGAACAAAAACCCGCCTCCAAAACACAAATGAAAAGAGACCCAGATGACCAATCCAAGCAAATCACAACGACAAAGTAAGATCCATACGCAAACAGCAGCTATGAAAGCAGAGGCAAAGATACCTTGTTGGGTACATAGAATCATTGGAGAATAACTAGTAATGACGCTTATACACAAATCCCTTCTCTTTTCCCATGAGTAAGGACTATCTTCCGTCTGATCTTCATGAAGATTGAAGGTCATCACAGTCAAAGAAACACTCATTTTGTTCCTTCTGGTGCAAATATCTGCCTGCCCCTTGTGTGTCCTACATGATCACTACAGTATTGTTCCACTTCCACTTCCACAAAGAAGAAAGCTAGCAGGTTTAGGTGGTCTATTCCATTCTTGTAAGCTCAGGGAGCAGATTCTGCGAACAGAGAAACATATGACGCAGCACAAATATTAAAATGCAAAAGAAGAAGCAGAGAGAGAGAGAGAGAGTCTCAACTATGTCCGAACCGAGTGAGGATTTTGTCAAATGTTTTAAAGTGGGTTTTGACCGCTGGGAACCATGTCATAAAACACGACGCCTGCTACCACGTGTAAAGCTCAGTAACTAGCAAACCAGTAGCAAGTCATGGTAATTATTTATTTTTCCAATTTTTTTATGGGTTTATAATTATATTCGGAAAAAAAAAAATTATGGCAGATTTGAATTTGAGCAAAGTTTGATAAACGCTGGAATTTTCCTTTTAATAAAGTTTCGGAAAACAAAAATTTCTAAGTTTCATTTCAATGGCAACTTAGCAAGTAATTTACCTTGCATACATTAGGACGAGAGTTTTAAGTCTCATCTTTTTTAGGCTTTGCTTAGAAAAATAAGAACGCTATAATTTCATTTTCATTGTACTTTGTAAAGCAATATGTTGTTGATGGGAGACATTTGGAAGATGAGAATCCACCACAACACTTCCGTCCCCATGCATTATTTTAGCAGTAGCTTGAGATCTGTTTCGATACCAAATATCATGGCCCAGGAATAAAACTTGTCTTTCAAAAAGTAACCAAGAGCTCTTCTTTTCATTTTTATTCTAGGGGACGGGAAATAAACTACATCTTTACTCACCAAGCTTTTCTTTTTTTTCTTTTTTTTTTCTTTTTTTGGTGTTCTAGGGACAGGAAAATAAATAAACACAGAGTCCGTGAAATTAAATAGACACTTCCAAGAAAGATATCAAGGAGTTGCAACCCATCTCAGTAAAACTGGAAAAATATCATTCCTGGATCCATAACCTTTCCATTTCTTTTCCTGCACAGTTTATTCATGAACGGAAGTCGTGGCACCAAGGAACCCCATCAAAATGCATCTGTTCCCTCAGCTAGTGATGCTGATGTAATATTTCTCCCGATGGATGCTTCAGGCTTCCACCTAAGCAGAGTTCTTCAGAACCCACTCCACCAGGGTGGAAACACCAAACCCTGTAGCAGTGGGCTTCTTGTCATTCCAAACAGGCCCAGCCATGTCAATATGCATCCACTCAACCTTTTCATCAACAAACTGCAAAAGCATAGTCGAAAACGTTATCATTAGGAAGTGACACAACAGAACACAAACATGATCAAACTAAGGAAGTGACACAACGGGCACAAACCGAGACAATAAAATTATGAAATCATATACCTGTTTCAAGAAGAGAGCAGCAGTTATTGAACCACCTGGACGACCACCTGTGTTGACCATATCAGCTATTCCCGATTTCATCGACTCCCAATAACTCTCCTCCAATGGCAACCTCCAAAATTTCTCCCCACTGAGCTCCGAAGCTGCAAATACCTCTTTTGCCAGGTCATCACTAGGTGTAAAGACACCTAGAAGGAAAAGTTTTAGCATCACATAAACAATTAGCAATCCGTCAAGTTGTAGAAGAGTTTCAAAGCGTATTAACATATTTAATACGAATTAAAGGGCCCCCATGACAATGATACAAGAGATTGCAAACATAATCTTCGATGCTTAAACCTTGTTATGTGCAGAACCAGTAATGTGAATCTTATTTATTTTATCAATTTAACTTCATTTTAATGTGTAGTTTACTCCAATAAGCATCACTTAGAAGCCCACTCTAAAAATCATCACATTTTCCTGATTCATTCAATAATATAACACTGCTTCAAAGAATATGCATATACCTGCTATTGAGGGTCCAAGAGCAACTACACAGGCACCAGTTAAGGTTGCCAGGTCAACAATCTGCACAATATGATGGTGTTAGCACTAGCAGTACCAGAAATCAGTATTATACATCTAAGCAGCATGTAGGCATCAAACAATTCTAATGATAAATTAATTACAAAGAGCAGCGTGCATATGTGCTCTTCATAAAATTCAACGTGCCCGCAAATACAAAATACAACATATAAGGCAGAATGAAATGAAAAATGTGGAATATAACAAAACTACCATTTCCCTATAGTGAATCCTAGTCAGTAATTAGATTATTCACCTAATTTGCAGCAAGAAAAATCAGTGAAAAGCTAAACTCTTTTTCCTATGTAAAGCCAAATGAGCACATTAAGGAACCTCACCAATATCAAACATCAGGAAAGTGTAAAAAAATTAACTTTGGCTAGAATTTCACAATTTTAAATCCAATTAACACAAGATACAATTAACACCTACATTACAGATACAAAATGCATAGCCAAGATGCATCACCACAGTAATACCTTCTCAACACCTTGGTTACAAGCATATACCAATGCATCGGCCAGAGTAAGTCTACCTTCAGCATCAGTGTTATTGACCTGTGACGGAAATTGACGCAAATAGAACTTTAGTTTATAAGAACATGGATGCACAGCTTAGTATACAAAATTATATATGTATGATCCTTAATGTTATGGAGCACTTTTAGAATTAAGATCCAATGAGCCTATTAGACATCTCGTCAATTGAAAAATTATTTACTCACCTTGAAGATAATGTGTAATATATTCCTTCATGTTATGTTTAGCACATTTAGAATTATGATCCAATTAGTTAGTTAACCTCTCATCATTGAGAAGGTGTGCATTTCCAACAACCACAAAAACCATACCTCAATTGTCTTTCCATTTGATGCCGTCACAATGTCTCCAGGCCTCATACCTGTTCCACTTATCATGTTCTCACAAGCTGCAACAATGAAATGAACCTGCATACACAATATCTATTATTGATCCATACTGGTGTACATCACCAATTCAATCACTAAAAAACTGAAGCCTGAGGATTAAAAAGTCGCAAATGGGTCAATCGTGCATCTTTCTCCACAACAAAACACGGAAAACACAATGGCTCACCTCTACACCAGGAGGTTTGATTTGACCAATGGCTTTTGCTGCACCTAATACAGCTCCAGAACCTCCCATATCAAATTTCATGAGTTCAATTGAACAGCCAGGCCCTGTCTTGATGTTGTAGCCACCACTGATAACATAAAAAGATAAAATCAATAACCATAAAAGACTAGTGTCAGCACATTGCTATATAGAAAAGAGTATTGTCATTTTTTATTTCAAAAAAACACCAACTCACTTCGATCAGTGTGACATGGAAATGAGAGAAGCAATAGCATTAAGAAAGAGAGAAATATAAATCATTCAGAGAAATGGTATAGGCAATGTGAGAGGAGTACAAAAGACTGGATTAACACTTTATTCTTGGATACTTACAAGACATCATACGACCATGATATGAACCATTAAACTCAGTCATTACTCCCGTTACCACAGACACATTGTAACCACGAAAATTTACAGGCATCTAAAGCTAAGCTGTTCTATATTTGCAAGAGCGAAAAGAACTAGAGACAAGAAGTTCATTCTAAATAATCTGCAATCACCTGTCAAAGGTCAGCCCTTTACCAACCAACCCTAATTTGACCTTAGCAGGTCCACCCGGGGGTTTGTAAATCAAGTGAATAAAATGTGGAGGATTTGCTGAGGCTGCAGCAACAGCTAAATAAGAACCCATTTTCAGTTCTTTGCATTGCTCTTCATTCAATATTTTTGCAGATAGAACATCACTGTACGTGGAAGCAATCTTTGAGGCCTCTTCGGCAAGTTTCCCTGAGACACAATAATCATCACTTACAGTCAACAACAGGAAATACTCGATGAACATGGACTGATGAAACAAAATGGGAAACTGCAAGTATAGGCCAGGAAAATGGCAACACTAAGGAGAATGCAGAATTTTTTTATGTTGGTTAATGAACTAAATGCAGAAAGTGCCTGACAAGACTAACAGCGACATTAAAGGATAACAACTGCAAGAAATTAGATCATACAAACCAGGTGTAAGAACATTGGCGGGTGAGTTTACTAGTTCTTTCCCAAAAATTATTCCAGAAGTAACATCTTCAGCATACTTGAGCTTCTTCTCTACTTCAGGTCCAGTTCCAAGACCAAGAATGTCCACAGATTTTAGAGCTGATTTCTTTGACTCTGATTTATACCTACTATCTTCATAAATCCCCAACAAAGTTCCTACAACAAGTCAAAGCCATTTGAACATGTTTAGCACAACTATTACCATATCAGAATACTACATACCAATTAAGAATAAAAGAATAGTGGATCAAAGTACCAGATGCTATTGCAGAAGCTGTGTTAGATTTTGCAGAAAGCTCCTCCGAAGAGGCAAGCACAATAGCAAGGTCACTCGCTTGAGTAGCCTTTGCTGTAGTTGCTGCAGCCTCCCCGAGACCTCGGAAAGCTGCTGTAGATGAAGCAGATTGTCCAAGCCCAAACAAGCCAATCCTCTTTAACCCAAGACCTGGAAGCCTTACAACTGTTGACTGGCCAGACTTTCCTGTGAAGTCTTCCTCAGAAGAGGCTTCAGCCAAGAGACCACCCAAACGGGAATCTAGATTCTTCAAGATTGAATTTTGAAACTTGGAGTTCTCATCTTTTGCCAAGTCTTTCTCTGTGACGCCCACTGCAAGTAGGTCTCCTTTCCATTCCGTTAGATCGATGTCTTTTGCAGCGAAAGAGATCTTCAGGAATTGACACAAACACACAAGTGATATTTCAGTTCAACAGAATTTAAGTTCTTGCTCAATTTAACCCATAATAATCAATCAAATTGTACACGAATTATGTATCTATAAAACATAACAGCCAAATAATTACTTGATCCATACAACAAAATCCAAAAACAAAAATCAATCAAGTAAACAAAAAATATAATCACCGCATATACAGAGATCGAAACTTTACAGATATAAAAGCCCACCAAATCCATCAAATTTCATCAAAACTAATAAGAACAACAATCAATAGCTCTAAGTAGTCACGAACTCACATACCAAAAATCAATTTTCATAAACTAACCCCAAACAACAATCAAAATGACAATCTTCCAGTGGAGAACATAGATACACTGAAATTTGAAGAAAAGCGACGAGAGAAATAGACCTTTGGGGCGTCAAGGCCAGAAGGGAAAGTGAGGCCGAGAGTGGCCCGAGCAAGAGTGTGAGCCATGAGCTTCCCTCTGCGAGAACACAGGGGTGTAACTGCAAAAGAAAGTCGCAGACTTGGGGAAGACCGTAATTTCGTCAAGAACGAGGAAGAATATGAAGGTGAAGTAACAGCAATAAGCGTAGACGCCAGGGACACAACAATAGCCACCATTTTTCCAGTGGTGCGAGTCCTGCGTATTTATATTGAGCCAGCGTCTAGATAATAATAGCAGAGCCAGCGTTTTTAATTTTCATTTTTTCACTTTTAGGGTATTTTCTTTATTTATTTATTTTATTATTTGGGTCAGATAGTTAACCGAGCCCAATGGGCCTACCTGAAGCCCATGGGGTTTATCCAACCTCCAGCCTCATCTTGTAGTAGTCCAGAATGATGCACGTGCGCTTCACGTGCACCGTAATTTGATTTTACCAAAACGACCCTTAACCGCATCGCTTTGCTTTCTGATTTCTCTCTCCTCCAGGCTCGTATCAGTAGTGACTAGTGAGAAAAGAAGAAAGAAGAAGGCGCTGGTAAAATTACCCAAAATACAGAAACGAAAAGAAAAAGAAGAATAATGGTGGGGACGAATCTGAAAGCGGAGACGATGGGTCTGATGGAGAAGAGGAGTGCTCTAGAGGCGGAGATGAATGCCGTCATCGAGCGTCTTACGCAACCCGGTGGCCCTGGAATCTCCGGCAACCTCCTTGACTCCGAGGTCGACCTTTTTTATATATTATTATTTTCCCTTTTTAATATGGCATTATTTTAATCAAGAAAATTGGGGATTTAGGGTTTTTGGTGTTTCCTTTTCTTCTTCTAATCTGTAGGGTTTTCCCCGTCACGATATTGACATCCCAACTGTGCGAGCGGAAAGGCGTCGTCTTGCTGGTATACTAGAATATTTTGTTCGTGTATTTGCTTTGAGTTGCATTTATTAAATTATTCGCAATAAATAATGCATTCTTTCACTGCGAATATTGGTACAAACTGAGTGTTGATTGTGGAGCTTTGCATACCCCTGCTCAGTTTCAGTTGTGTATTGATTGTGGAGCTTTGTTTACTGCTTCTAATGGTGCTGATGTGGGTATTTGTTAGTTGTTGTCCAATTCATATTCATATTTTTATTTGTGGTCTTTATTATAATTGCAGAATTGCGAAATGATCACAAAGAGATTACAGAGAAACTGAACGAAAATATACAAGTTCTGCACTCAGCAAGGCTTGCTCCTAAATCATCATCCCTCAAAGATTCAGGTAGGTGGTTGGAACCTGCAATGCATATTATCATACCTATAGATTTATTGGGAGAATCGGGTAGGAAAAATTGTCTACGATTTTATCTGTTGTCGGATTTGAAATGTATTGAGTGTCTGTGTGGGTCCCTGTGCATTGTGAGAAGTTTGGGATTCATTGGCGTTCAGTGATGCATACACATTTCTTATTTTTTAAGTGTAGCATTAAATTTTATTATTACAAGCTGGAGCTGGTAGCTAAATATTGATTATACTGTGTATCAAGATATGTGAAAACTGCATTTTTGTCTAATTTTTCTGGTAATGATGAGATGTCAGATGACCAAAGCGCATCAGTTGTCAACGTTGTTGCATCTGCATCCTCAACTAATGTTCATAGTGATTCTACCAATGCCATGGATGTGGACGTGATTGTGAGAGTACCCTTTGCGTTGGTTGATGAGATAGCTGATGCATCGCCAGCAGGAGAAGATGGTTTACAGCTTGGAGATCAGATTGTTAAATTCGGCAATGTGGAAATTGGTGATAATTTGCTGCAGAGACTTGCTTCTGAGGCTCAAACTAATCAGGGCCATGGGATACCTGTAATACTTGTAAGGCAAGGTGCTCAAGTCAACTTAACGGTGACACCTAGAACATGGCAAGGCAGGGGTCTGCTGGGGTATGACTCATTTCTTTTCTTTTTCTTTTTTGATGAATTAACTAATTGTTATAATTCCTTTGTTAGGCATTTGTTAAAATTTCTCAACCGTGCCTTTGAGGGTCATAAGATACCAGGGATAAGTTTAAACTTCTGTGATGTCCATCATTCAATGGATATATGCTTAAAGGAAGAACGTGATTTTTCCCAGAATATATATTTGATAGCTTTTTGCAGTAAATTGCCATTATTCGTCAACTTACATTGAATTACTCTTAATCTTTCTTCTGAGTCTAACATCCAACCTAGAATTATATTATAGAAAACCTTTAAAAAATATATAAACGGTAGATAGTTTGTCAAGTTTGGTTGGTGAGAAATGGTCCGAGATTCTGTTTTCCTTTGACCCCAGCCTAAAGCTTCCCGTGCTAATCAAAATAACACATCCTCAACCTACCTCTTTTGTTCTTTTCCATCTTTTAACAGTGCATAGTATTTTATGCCACTTACTGCTGGTTTATGTGGGTACTTGCAGTTGCCATTTCCGGATCCTGTGAGCAGTTGGTTTTCCAGTTCTTCACAAGCCACCAGAAGATTCAAGTCAAGACAGTTTAGTTGTTGCTCTTGATAATGTCAAATTTCAAAACATAGGGCACTTTATTATAAATACACTGAGATCCTGAGATTATTTGCTTTATTTTTGCGAATGTTGGATGAGACACACATGGGATTTCTATCTCAATCTTGAAGACTACATTTGGTTCTAATGCGCTTCCATGTCACTGTTGTTTCTCGTTTTCTACATTTATGTTGTAACCACCTTAGGTTTAGTCAATCGAAACAGCTTTCACAGGAGCTGAAGCTGATCTGATGATCTCCGTCTGGTGGACATTATTAAACGAGTCCATATTTGTGGATTGAATCGAATGCTAACCAAGTTGCTTTTTTATAAAAATTTTAAATATTTGGTCGAAGTATTAAACTAGCAATGCTTCCAGAACAAGGTAATCCATCTATGGCGTCAAAATGATATAAGAGACTCAACGAAATGCAGGCTTGTAACTAAACTGAGGCATAGCTAGGTGCCTGATATTAGCATATGAGATGGGATCGTTTGGAAGACAGAGAGACAAAGGGAGTGCAGTAATTAAGGTCCTTTTTGTCTTTGTGCGTTTGCATGCCAAATGAGACATGAAAGGCTACCAAAAGAGTCGCAGTCGTCCATAAGGTTAAACAGTAAAAGCCTCGGCCTGTTGTGTAAAATGTACCCAAATTTGGATAAAAACTTAGTTGCAATGGGGATAGTAATAAGTTTGCTATAGCTAGCCAGTAATGTTATGTTATGTGAAAGCGTTATCATACATGTCATAGCGTTATGGACTTTATACATTTTCATCCAGCTCAAAACTCAATGATTGTAACCACAAAGTGTGGTGCGGTTGGCAAACTGCCACCTCCAGCTGGCGAGTCACCTGGTGCCTCAATGGCAGGAGTTCGAAACTCGGTGTAAGCACTTTGTGGCCAGGGTCAAGCCGAACCCCGAACGGAGATTAATCCTATCATTTGGATGTGGGGACACCTCGTGGTATTTACCCAAAAAACAAAAAAAAAACAAAAAACTTCAATGATTGCTTTGCTTGCTTACTGCTTCCTTCTAATAAATATTAGTTTTAGGTAGAATAACAATACATTTTCATCCAGCTCAAAACTCAACGTTTTGAATGTCAAGTGTTTTATTTAATATAAGAAATGGTTTAATTTCATAATCTTCTTCTTCAAATCACTAGAGCTGAAATGTTCTACTTTGGTGTGCAGCGCGGCAGGCAATCAAAAATAACCGGGCCACAGCCGGTAAAAATGTAACTTCACACCGGCTCTCTAGGTCACCCCACGATAAACAAAACAGGACAACCTTTCACTCTCTCTCTCTGTCTTCTGCTCATTCTGTCTCCCTCTGTCCAAATTCAGGGAGAGAAATTTCAATTCCTTAAGATCGAAACCATTTTCTCTTCAATCCTCACAAAACCCGCTTTCCCGCATTTTCTCGGAAACTTTCCTTCGGTTCATTTTTCTCGGAAAAAGTATGGGAATTGCAAAGAGTTCATTTCCTTTGTGTCAGCTTTACTCTTCCCATGTGCTGTAGTGAGCGAACGACACAGTTCGTTTGAAAAACCTCTGCTTTTCTCTCTTTTAGATATTTTCAGTCGCTCTGTTTTCCACAAAAGTGCAGAATGGGAATCTCTAGATTTCGAGGCTCTTTGAAAGCTCATTTAACTTTTTTGGGGAATTAGTCGAGCTGTGTATATAAAGCCCTAGTTTTTTGGTACCTAAAGGTTACGCTATTTTTCTTTCACTTATTTTCTGTGGAATTCTGGGTGGGTCTTGACTTTCTTAGGGGTTTTGGGCAAGTTGGAGTCTGGGCATTGGAAAAATGGGGGTTTTAGTGGTTTCTGCAAGGTGGTGTTTCGAAGGGGTTGAGTATTGGCTTGGTGAATTTTGAATGTGAATGGACCAAAGGGTTGGTAGGAGTATAACTTTGAGGGGCTCAAGTGGTGGAAAAGTTGAGATCTGTTTTGGGAACTTGAAGAGCAAGGTCAATGAATGTGCATAGTGGAAGTGTCAAATCCATATGCTTTTGGGTCTCTGGGGGTCTTTCTGGTTGTCTGAGCTTTTGAAAGTAAAAGAAGAATCTGGGTTTTAGTGAATTTTCTAGATGGGTATTTGATGATTTGAGGGTTTGTTGGATCATATTACCTGCTCGGGCAAACCCATATTCTGGTTGAATTCGAAGTGTGTATTTTATTTTTCTTTTGATTCTGAGTGGGGAAAAAGGCTGAGATCCTTGGAGAATTTGGTGTTAAGCCAAAGGAGTGATACTAATGTCAGGAGCTCCAAGAGTAAGGTCTATCAATGTGGCTGATTCAGAGTCAAGGCCAGTGCTTGGACCTGCTGGGAACAAGGCAGGGACGTTCAGTGCACGAAAACCAGTTTCAAAACCACTGAGAAAGGCTGAGAAATTGGCTGAGAAGGTTGCCTCAGCTGAAGAGAAGAAAACTCGTCAATCTTCAATGCTAACTACCTCTCCTCAGCTGCATTCTCCCAGTGTTCCGTCAGTGCTTCGTCGACACGAGCAGTTATTGCACTCAAATTTTTCACTAAATGCTTCATGTTCATCGGATGCCTCTACGGATTCATTTCATAGTAGAGCATCTACTGGTAGGTTGACTAGGTCGAATAGTGCCGGCAGTAGGAGGAAGCAGTATGTTTCGAAGCCAAGAAGTGTTGTTTCTGATGGTGGATTGGATTCTCCCCCTGATGGTTCGCAGTCTAAGAAGAGGTGTGCTTGGGTGACGCCTAATACTGGTTCGTTCTTTTTTTTTTTTTTTATCCTGGTGAAAATATTTGCTTCTGGAGCAATTGGTTATTTCTTTCTAGTTAGTAATGTGCCTTTCTTATAATTATTCTCATGATATATTCTTAGCTGGTAATAAATAGCATAAAGATTTGTAGAATATATGTCCCTCCCGGTATTGTTATATGATTATCTTGTGACACGTTTCAGACTAGCAGTAGACTGGCATGATTTAATTCACAATTCACCCGAGTATAGGCAAATTATTTTTTAGACCGCATGCCCCGCGTAATCTATATTGTACTTGACAATGAAGACAGAAGTTAACGACAGTTCAAAACCAAAATGACTAGCATTGCAGTTCATATTTCCCCAACAAAATCAAAGAATTCTGTACCTTTGAGTGAAGAGCTTCAAGTTAAGGGAGAATAAGGTTCTCGTTAGGGTTTAACTGGCAATTTCAAATACGCTGCTGACGGAACTAGTCATGTTTAAGGCTTAATTGGGTTAAAACTTACTCTCCTCAAAGCTGTTGTATAAGTTAACAAATGAGTATAAATGTACTGTTCTTCTGATGTCCAAGCAGGAAATTCTACACTCGGCCCTTCGCCATTATATTGATTTTGTCTCATTGTCAATTTGTTATGAATAATTTATTGCACACTTGTTTGGGTCATGGATGATAGAAAACAGATATATAACTCCAGAAGGCAACAATTTGAAAGATTTTCATTTCCATTTAGGGAGAGGGTGGAGGGGTTTCTTTCTCTTGATGGGTGCTAGCCTTATAACCATGCAAAGTCTTGTGGAAGTAGAACTACATGTATCTTAGCCAGAGAAACATCTTGGATAGTTGAACCAAATATAGTTTTCTACATGGCTTGATATTCTTCTTTCATAGATTTATATTCTGATCGAGATTGATATGTTGTAAGCAGATCCATGTTATGCTGCTTTTCATGATGAAGAATGGGGGCTTCCAGTACACGATGACAAGTATGTCATAGCAACACTATTTGCATCTATGTTGATTGAAATGAAGATTACTTTATAAAACTCTACTTCACAGTCATTTTCCTGATCTGCTTGACCACATACAGGAAACTGTTTGAGCTTCTTGTCTTATCTGGTGCTTTGGCTGAACTTTCATGGCCTGCCATTCTAAGCAAAAAGCACATCTTTAGGTACTGTTTCTGTGCAGGTTCTCTTTTTTAAATAGTAACCGACTTACCCTAAACTATGTTCTGTATAAAGAGGTTGGGGCATTTTAGTGATGGCCCCTTCCCTGTTGCATGGCCTTTCCACTCTATGTGATTAATTGACAAGCTTCTTTTTGCAGGGAAGTGTTTGCAGACTTTGATCCCGTTGCCATCTCAAAGTTGAATGAGAAGAAGCTAATAGCACCCGGAAGCACTGCAAGTTCCCTATTGTCTGAACTAAAGTTGCGTGCTATCATTGAGAATGCACGTCAAATGACCAAGGTAAATGTTCATTTCCTCCTCCAGTTGTATGAAATTGACTAGCAGAAGAAGCACACATGTGCAGACTTAGTAAATTACTACTAGCTCATATATGGGAAGTACTAAGAAACCGTATGCATGTAAGCATCCAGTATAATATACTTTCTCAATGATACCTAATTTTAGCCAAAACTAACGTGGCATGTTGTTAGTATAATTGTACTAGTGGAATTATTTTATGCATCACTTTCTACAAACAAAATAGCCTCATTCACTCAATTTTACACAAATAAACTGGGGACCACATGTTTTCTTTTGTTTGTGCAAGCAATTAAATGGCATATAATGGGTGCTTAGTGATCATTTGATCAGGTAGGTTAGGTGAAAAAAGTAGTTGAATGGTGGTCCTCACCTCTCTGTAATTTGTATCACACATATAGGGCAAATTGTAATTCTATCATCCATACAGCAGCCTGACCCTCTATCTTACCTCAAGAATTGCTCTTTGCAACCTAATTATTCCCTTTCTTCAACATGCCAGCTTGCTTCATTACTTAATCCTGAATCACGTATTTGACTTGATAAGTTCCAACCATTAACCACTATCCAATAACCCTTTTACTGTATCCATGATTGCACATTTTTTAATTACTATGATTATCGTTGCCACTAACTTTTTGCAGGTTTTGCTGATGCCAGGTCATAGAAGAGTTTGGATCATTTGACAAGTATATTTGGAGCTTTGTGAATAACAAGCCTATAGTTAGCAGATTCCGGTATCCTCGGCAGGTTCCGGCAAAAACTCCAAAAGCAGATGTGATAAGCAAAGACCTCGTGAGAAGGGGATTTCGAAGTGTGGGGCCAACTGTTATTTATTCTTTCATGCAGGTCGCTGGAATTACAAATGACCATCTCGTTAGTTGCTTCAGATTTCAGGAGTGCCTAAACGCAGCGGAAGGGAAGGAAGAGTATGGAATCAAGGATGAGGCTGAAAAGAAAACAGAAAATGGGATAGAATCGGACTTATCTGTTGCCATGGATGAATTGAGTTTCTCCTCAGACTTATAAAGAAAATGCCTTGGTCAGCCGGTTTCAATCATCAGTTTGCCACATTGACTGATTCAGAGCTACTCTTGTATTGGGTAGTAGTGAAGAGGGTTTTGTGTGTAATTAATGAATTCTGAAGCATTATGGATTCTCGCTTTGTAGATTACTGAAGTGGATTAAAATGAAAACTGGTGATTGTGCCGTTGGTGCGGCTTCCCTAGTCTTGAGAGCTTTTGAAAAACTAATATACAATTTTTTGTACAGTTAAGATATTAGTAATTAGAATCTCTTTAGAACCAGATTTGGGCATTAAAAAGAAGAAAAAATACTGTGCAATGCTTCTCTATCTGATTCATTCTAGGTTCAGCTTTTGCCTGACAATTGTGGGGTGGGGCTGGTTGATATCCCAGACGGTATACCTTAAGCAATGTGCTGGACTGGACAGCTGCAAGTTGCAACACTACATCTGATGAGTCATTTTGGTGACAAATTGACAATGAAGGATGTGTAGCACAATATCTCTTTGTCTTTGTCCCCATATGACCGACGACGGGGAACTGCTGATTGATTGATGGACATGTTTGCACTCTTGCCTCAACAAGTTCACCTAAAAATGTGGGCCACCACTCTTTCAAGTACGAATTTAATTGCTGACTATTATCTAGGAAACCCTTTGCCTTCTGCCTCAAACATTTTATTTTATCCAATCTTATCAAGGTGGGTTAATTGAGATAAACGACTGTTGGATTGTCTTGGAGACTTGTATACTGTTAGCAACAGCACAATTCCAACTTTTCCAGAAGAGAAACTTCTCTCAATTAATCTATTCAAGTTTTCTAACCGAAGTAAATTGACCATTTAAATTTTATTTGATCTACTTGATCTTAAGGAAATAACTGCAAACATCAGGAGGAAAAAAATGTCACCCATTTCTATACTGTTTAACTGCGATTAACCTATTCAACACAAGATATGCAAGGGTGTACAAATACCAAATCTACACAACTGTGAACTATAAGACTACAGCTGAAAGGTGAAAGAGACCCACAACAAAATCAAAATAAAAAAATCAAACCTGCCAATGTGATAACTTATAAAATTTTATATAGATACACTGCTTGCTTTTCTAAGGCCCGTCGATGATGGTCTTTATCACTACTTGGGCCAGCTAAGGAACTTTCAGCAAGGCTTGATTTCGAATCCAATGCTCAAAAGAGTTCGAGCTGATTCCATTGCCTTCTCACCTCCAAGGTCCAAGGCCTCACCAGTCAATTCTCCCCCGGTGTCCACTGACCACTGGGTTGAAGAAATCTGGTTTTGGTGTGTATCGGTCTTCTTGATATGCAAATTGTTCATGGAAGCAGGAGCAGCGGCAGCAACAAGAGGAGCACTCGGAGGGCCATGTCGTTTCTTTGGAACAGGCATGTCATGGTCATGTATCCCCTTGTATGTTATAATCACAGCACTTGTGTTATCTATGGCTGTTTCAATGTGCTTCCGGACTGGACACCCAGCAGAAGTGCATCTGTAGTAGTTCCTAAAAAATTTAAATACAATTATCAAAACATAAGGAAAGGAATACATGTAGTAGTTCCTAAGTGGGGTTTCAACAGCTCACATGATAAGCAACGGAGATTTATGCAATATGCAAACTCTTTTAAGTCTAAAGGCAACTGCATGCATAGCATACCCAACAATTATTCTCTATTATTTGCATCATTTGAAACTGTCGATAACCTTTTAGCTGGCAATTCTGCAGCTCAAGATTACTGTGTAGAGAAAAGACACTTACTGACTTAAAGCTACAAATAGCTTAATATTCATATCCCCAGATACATAGAGACAAATTACAACCAAAGGGAGAGGTTCATATGTCATGATTAATAATAATAAACAATAACGCTCTCTTAACACTCTGCATAAATTCCATTCACTTTCTATTTCTTGTCAATTGATACTCTAAACAACTGGCAGATATTATATCAAAAGCTTCATTTGATTAAAGATGCCACCAGACAAAATACAAAACGAGTAAAAGGCATTCTTTGGTCAATGTCATTTCTGCTGTGCTTGCATCTTGCAAGCGCAAATAAATGAAAATGGAAACAGTTAACATTGCTTAAGAATCAAAAGCAAATTGGAACATTTAAGTTGTTCTTTTGAAAACTCATAACTGAGCCTCTGCATCATTGAAATTTCCAGTTCGTCCAATTGCATCTTTCAAAAATTAAGCGCACCATGAAGTTTTAAAGTAGATAGGTCTTGCACAAAGGCAAGATGAAGTTTATGTAAAGAGAACATATGCCTAACATCTTTCAACAACATAAAATACTGAATCTGAACCCCAGATGCTGATTAATTAGGTCAATATATCAAGCTACAAAGAAAAAAGATGAAGGAAATGGGCATACCTGGGATGCGGATTTCCTTTCACCATCTTCTGTCCGTATTTGCGCCATCTGTATCCATCACCTGATATTCCAACATCCCCCGCCGCATGCACAACAAATTTAGGTTTCTTGCCAGGTTTTAGGAGAGAAGTTGAATACTCTAAGTTGCTTTTCTTCACTCTGGTTATCAATAAGCAGAGAGTATACCAAAACCAGGTAAATTTCTACTCCTTTGAACAAGTATGTTACAAAATACAGCAACAGAAAAGGAAACAAAATCTACGAGTAAACTTGCCTTCGTTTGGGTTCCGGTTCATCACCATCACCATGCTCCTCCTTGATCTTAACATCACCATTACCATCAGAGTCATTTGGGCTTTGCCGCTTTCTTTCAGGAATTGAGGGTGTTTCTTGAATACGTTCTTTTGAGGATGTGGACAGCTCTGAATCATTAACTGTTCTGCAGGGATGTTCTGTAATACTATTCCTTACACACTCAGCAGATAATGCAAGTTTACTTTCCTTTGTGCAGTTACTTTTTCGAGGGGGCTCATGAGTATGTTGGCTTTTGTAAACAATTTCTGTTACATAGCCCGAGTGGTCACAGCATTCAATCTTCTTGGCATAACACTCAGAATATGTGCACCTATAATAACTTCGAGAACCTTGAGGGCTCTTCACTTGCTTCTGACCATATTTTCTCCAGTTGTAACCATCAGAAGCAGATGTCTTCACAAGAGGAATAGAAGATATAAATTTATTGTCAGAAGAATTTTGCTTGTCCACCTCTGGTGTACATAAAGTATTAACCTTTTCTGATGGCAGTTTTTGTTCTAGCAGAATCGGGCTGGGAGCAGATGAAATGGATTGCGTAACAGAAGTTGGTGATAGTTCTGACAACGGAGTTGGATAAACAGTCAACTGAAGCGGACTTTGTGTCTGAGTCTGAATGGATTGTGTAACAGAAGTTGGTGATAGTTCTGACAACGGAGTTGGATAAACAGCCAACTGAACCGGACTTTGTGTCTGCATCTGAGCATCCTGGTGTGTTACAATTGCCAAAATTTCCCGGTGGCTCACCCCAAGTTGCTCCTGAGAGAGAACAAGGAAAATAATTATACAAGTGAAACACAAGGAAGCAGATATGTGACTTATGATAATGAGAGGTATAACATTCTGGAGTTGCATATGATTCAAATTACGTGATACAAGATGCATCCAAGACCCATTTAGATTGGCATGAATGTGCATCTAGAATTTGTCGTAAGGAAGACCCATGCCTCAAGTTAGACTGTACGAGGTCTAAATGATATGATGTAAGGTCAATTAAGTTGGCCTGTTCCTCACACATATAGACTGAAAGTTTTTATTGTTAAATGTATTGGCCTGTTCCATCAGTCATAAAATCCAATCATTTTGTCTTCTGATATTATCTGATCACTAAGTGGTCAAGTTTTCTAACTTCCAGCCAATCCTCTGAAAAATGATACTCTTTTTGAATTGTTGCGTTTGAGTTTAAAATTGCCTGTCGTAGGATCTCATCCCACATATGATGTAGGGTACTGGGGTGTTGTATTAAAGTGAATTTTTTTGCATTTTGGACTCGTTTTATTGGATCCAAGAACCAGAAACCTTCAAAATGGACACTTTAGCTGACAAGGTTGCCTCTTTTGAGTGATTAATAGCTAAGTACTAGCTTTCATTAATGCAGATTTTATACTTCATCTTATTGTCTCTTCTATGACTTTCTTTCCTATTACTATAACATTCTCTTCATTTTGACATATAATCCACCTCTCCAGAAAGCAAACAGTATGTGAGATAATATCTCTTTGTTTTTTTAATTTTTTTTCCTTTTTGACACATAAGTTCAAAAGGAAAGAGGAAAAGATTTTACTTTGGTTATCACTACTCTAAAAGCGATACAGGCTAAGAATTATTTTGCAACCTGACACTCCTCTTCACTTGTGGCTCTCTCCCTACTTAGTACCTAGAGGGCTTCACAAAAACTGCGAGGCTATAATCACAAGGATTTCGGATTCATGATTTCAACCCTCAAACAAGAACTTTAACAAACATTTTTGCTCTGTCCCCATGAAAAGGCACTCATAGATTTCAATTCCAAGGAAAATTCATGAACAAAAAACTGCAAGAATGCAAAACCATTTCCACCAGCACCGTTGCACACATGACTTCTCTCCCAATTCGTGATATATTTATATGTCCCCCCTCACCCCCTCACCCCAGCCCAAAAAACAAAAGTCAAGCAAACAGAAATTCACAAAAGAATCAGTAATATCACGCAAATAAAAGTGCTCACAATTCATTTAGCCAAAGATCAAAAGTTTAGAAATTGGATGTGAATGAGCTTCTAACCTGTAATTGAGCTCCATCAATCGACTGTGACGTGGAGTTAACCTGAAAACCTGTGGGATCAACCACACAAGATCACCCCGTTCACTATAATCCCACCAAGCACTAAAGCTATATAAAAATATAAAAACAAAAAAACAATTTTTTTTCTTCCAAAAACTAACACACCGTTTCCGAAGAACAAAGCTTACCTGCACACTGATCGTTCTCTGATAATTCCAGCGTAGAAGGCACCGCTAGGGTTTCTAATTGCGTCTCTCTTGACTCTGGTGCAGAGTTCTGTAACTCGCCCAGCTGAATTTCACCGAGTCGCTTTCCTTCTTCGTCCTCGTCTTCATCTTCATCGCCTTCTTCATCTTCTTCTTGTTCTTGTTCGTTTGGCTTTAGCTTTTCTACTTGGAGAGCATCGAAGCTCTCGTGCTCAGCCATGGCCGATTGTCACTCTAAGAGAGTAAAGTTTTTCGCAACTGTTGGTACTGTGACTTTTATAGTGTCCAAAATCGACCCCGAAAATGAGACCGAAACCGAAAAATGTTTTGGATTCTGTGTACCGGTTTATAGATTAAGAGAGAGAGAGAGAGAGGGTGAGAGATGTTGTGGGGGATATATGTGTCTTTGACTGGCGTTGACTCAGGTGGTTTTTATGACGGTGTAACGGAAGCCGTTAATATCTGCGTTACATCAGGTGCGGGGATCACCGTTGGTTTTGTTGACTTGACGGTTTCCTTTCGGCCGCCGTTTGGACTCGGACATAGTGACCCATTTTCTGTAATTTGAGCCTAAAAAAGTGATATTGTACTCATTCTCTTCCTTTATTAATTGGCTCATCACTTTAGGAGTTCAACCTCGAATTTTGCTTTTAATTTTTAACCTCAATTGCTATGACAATATTTTATTTATTAACATGAATATCAAAATTAGAATGTATTCGGATTTAAGTTGTGGCTATGGTCAATGGTCAATGATCTACTTATAAAATAAAATAAAAAGCGTAGTTTACTGAGAATATTAATTCCTTTTCGTAAGTCAGAACGCCATTTACCACTTCGCCGTTTTTGTTATGGATTGGAAGGCTCCTAATTCAACTGCTTTCTTTGTAAAACATTAAAGGGAGATTCTTTATACGACTACCGAGAACAGAAACACAAACGCTGATGGTACAACTCTGACTCTGAGCACGTGGCCGTTTTTTGTCCAATCAAGATATAAAGCAGAAGACAAAGTTATTTTTTTAGAATCATTTCTTGAGGTCGCTAACTAGTCTTTAATCTAGTAGTATTTGTTTCTACGAACGACGTTTTAGTTTCGATACGCATGGACGACGAGAATGATATATTATATATATACATATTTATAATGAGCCCTTTTAGATATTTAAACGGTTGAAAATTGATCACCATCATCCAGACTTGGGAATACAGAGCCCTGAATAAATAAATAAATAAACATTCCTTCACACAGAGTCCAGTCCATCCAGATATCCCGCAAAGTAGAGTCACGCAAATCTACCCAATCCAACCCCGTCGGAGTTGAGAAAGAACACGTTCGCAACAACTACAACTAATACAAGTAGATCAATGAATTCACAACCTACCCAACCCCAAACAAAAACTATGTGACTTGTACTTGCATGCTCCGGCTTACGCAAACGCAGCCTTTTCACTTTCATTCGCTTACGTCTTGTCTTCACCTCCAAAATACTCTCTAGCTATTCTCTACCCTATAGGCTCTCGCTGTCATCCTCATTTAATGCAGCCGCTGCTAGAGTCAGGTTACCCTTTTCTTTACTCAATTTCACTTCTTTTTATTGATTTCTGTTTTTCTTTTTCTTTTCATTTTGATGCTGATTAGTTATTTGGTTGGTTGCTTGAGAGAGAAAATTACAATCGAAATTCCTGTTGGTGTGTGTTGGGTGGATAATCTGTGTCTCTGTATGGAAAATTGGAATTGAAAAGTATGCACTGTTCACTTTTTCGGTTCGCTTGTCCAATGCATTGTTCTTCAGCAGCAGTACTGATACTGAGTTGTTTTCTTTTTAACTTTTCATTTTTTCTGTTTGCTTGTTATGTTGTTCTTCAAAGTTCAAATCTTTAAGCTTAATAGCTTTTATGGCCTCAGCTGATTTCTTCTGTATACAGCAAACTGCCCTAGTTGTAGTAGACTAAAAGAGCTATTAGGAGATGGATAGAAGAAGAGAAGTTGCAGTTATTTTATGCATCCAAATGAGCTTAGAAATTGGGTTTATTCATGTAGATTTTAGTTAGTTTCCTTTGAAGTTTTGTGTAGTGATTTGATTTGATTTAGGGATTGTATTTGGTTTCTTTTACTGTAGAGATGCTGGTTAGCTGTAGTTTGCTTCTGGTTTGGTTCCTACTTCTTTTCTATTTTGCCTCTGTCTTGTTCTTCTTCTCTCCTCTCCTATCCTATGTTCCCCTCCACTCTAATTCTCTTCTTGTTCTACATCAGTATAGTTTCATGGTGGGTTCAATATTGTGCATTTACTGCTTATATTTATCACATCAAGTACTCTTCCTCTTCATGGGAAAAAGAAAAAGAAAAATGTGGTTAATTTGAAGCCATGATTTTGCACGGCAGGTATCTAAGTCTGGGTACTAAGATCCAAAAAAAATTAGTTTGGATTTCTTTCCCTCCTTTCCCTTCTTTCCCTCAATTATCATCCATTTTCAGCTCATTTAACCAGAATTCAATGAATTTATCTTGATTGAGTGGTGGATAACTTCAGAAAATGAAAAAAAATCTAAATTTTTTTCGTCGAGAGGATGAGAAAAATAACTGTTGGATTCTGTTTAAATGGAGTTAAATGGGTAAGATTTGAATTTTGAGGAAATGAGATAAAAGGAGAGGATGAATAAGATTGATTGCTATTTTATGGGCTTGTTAATATTGATATTTTCTCATGATCATATATTCATGTCAGGGGGAAGAATGGAGGAGGAACCATCAAATCTCCCAGTTTCGTTATGGGGCCGGGTTTCTGCCTTTGAGACGAGGGCTAGGGAAGCATACAAAAGAAAGCCAATCTCACATTGGATTCTTCTTGTTCTAAGCAGTGCGGCAATGCTCATAGCGTTCCCTGCATCAAGCCTTCTGTCTCGTGTCTATTATGCCAATGGTGGCACTAGCAAGTGGATCATTTCATGGGTGGCAGTTGCAGGGTGGCCTCTGACTGCTTTGATCTTGTTCCCTACATACTTGGTCTGCAAAACCTCTCCTACTCCCCTCACTTTAAAACTTACTTTTTCTTATATTGTGCTTGGTCTCTTAAGTGCTGCTGACAACCTCATGTATGCTTATGCATATGCTTACCTCCCAGCATCTACTGCTTCTCTTCTCGCATCATCATCTCTAGTATTTTCTGCATTGTTTGGATATCTACTTGTGAAGAACAAGCTAAACGCCGCAATAGTAAACGCTGTTGTTGTCATTACTGCTGCTATGACAATCATTGCTTTGGATTCAGATTCAGACAGATATGGAAATGTCACTGATAAGCAATACATTTGGGGTTTTGTATGGGATATTTTAGGGTCTGCTCTCCACGGACTCATATTTGCTCTTTCGGAGCTAGTTTTTGTGAAGCTAGTTGGTAGAAGGTCCTTCCATGTTGTGTTGGAGCAGCAAGTGATGGTCTCTTTGTTTGCGTTTGTATTTACCACGATTGGAGTAATTGTGAGCAACGATTTTCAGGGAATGAAATATGAGGCCAGAAGTTTCGAGGGTGGTAAATCTTCTTATTACCTTGTTCTCATTTGGAGCACCATCAGTTTCCAGTTGGGGGTATTAGGGAGTGTTGCTGTGCTTTTTTTGTCGTCCACTGTTCTTGCGGGTGTCCTGAATGCAATAAGGGTACCCCTCACAAGCATTGCAGCTGTCATTTTGTTAAAAGACCCAATGAGCGGCTTGAAGATCCTCTCTCTGGTCGTCACATTTTGGGGCTTTGGCTGCTACATCTATGGCAGTTCCTCTCCAAGTAAAGATTCCTCGTGATATTTTCTTGTCTGCTTTCTCTTTGTTTTCAATCTTTTGGGGTTATATGTTTCGTTTATCATATCTTATTATTATACTGGAGCTCTTCGTTGTCAGACATTTTTCTTCCCCAAGATATCAAGATGTATTATAAGCAAGATATATGTAATATTTGTTCTATTATTTAAAAGGAAAGAGCTGCAATTCCCAAGTGCACCCATGCGTGCAAGTGTGTTTGTAAACGTTTAGGGTTTTTGCGGATATAGCACAGACAACATCATCGCAAACGAACATGGAATCTAGGTTAAACGCACAAAAAGGCCTTTTGAGGGCAAATTACATGCTGGCCAGAAACACCACAGCAACGCCATCAAACCTAATACCAACAGATTCATGTATTAATTCAAAGTGACACAAAAGTAAAGCCATTAACAAGAATGATGAGTAACATCAGTAAGGATCCCAAAACATGCGACATCACAAAATGAGCATTAATTGAAAGATCAAACAGAAATATTTTTCTTTTGCTGGAAAACGCCAAAATAGTTTAATAGATATGCAGCAAGCTCCCTTTGCACGGGATCAGCAGCTTTAAATTTGCGTCATCACTTTTACAAGCTTGGCAAGCTAAAATACCATTTAAAATAACAGTTCATTGCACAGAAATATGGTTGATAAACCTCCCTGTTAGCAACAGTTCCACAAGAAAAAATAAAAAACGAAGAAAGTCTTGCCATCAGCTACAGCTACTGCTACAGCATCATACTTAGTTCTTAGGACCAATATCCTTGAGGGCACAGATCTGCTCCTCTCCCATTGCAGACATGACAGTCACCACAAGATCCTTTCCATCAGCAAACCCATCTTTAATCTGTAAAGGAGAATATGAAAGAAAGATTTTAGTCTACAAAGAAAACAGATACAATAAAGCAACTTTGACTATAGGAAAACTTTCTCAATGACATACCTGGCTAAGCAGACTTTCATCGGTGGGAAGCCTCAGATCATCCTTGGTGTTTCCATTTTCAGTTAAAAGACTCACCTACAAGACACCCAACTCCAGTTAGTCTATATAAAATGGAAGGCAGGCAACTATTTGTCTCATCATGCCCATCCATCTCACAGGTGAAATTTCTGTTTTAACTTTTGGGTAGTCAAGTTTCCAGTTTTGCATATATGTGTATTGTGTATCTGTTATCGGTACGTATTAAACAGGTAAATGCATATTACAAGAAACTTATTACATTTTTTAACATAACACAAACAGGGGAAAATATGTTGTTCAACTACAAAACATAAATCCATGCTGCAAAAACTCAAGAGATGCATCTCACGTATTGCAAATGAACGCAAGTTCGTCTCCCTTGGTATCATCCTTATCATCAAAATGGACATAAATTCACATAGCAATCAAAATTTATGATGCCATGTTTTGGTACTAATTGGTCAGAGGACTTACAAAACCATCTTCAGAGATATCAATCAGCTGGTAGTCGGTACGGTTGACGTGAGGAACCTGAACGATGAGTATATAGAAGAACAGATGAGTTAACTTGCAACCAAGAAATACAGCACATACACAGAACTCAGAGAAGCAAAATTCAAGTTTAGAGAAAGCATTACATCACAGTTGTGGGATGAAGGAACAATATCTTCAAGTTTCTTTCCATTAAAAATATCAATTGCAACAAAGTGGCACTTTGCATGACCATGCTTGCCAGTTTTTGAAGTGGAGACTTCAACAACCTGTTAAGCGAGCAAACAGGATATTAACGAATAAATTGGATGACTAACTCGAGACTGCAGAACTACAACAAAATAAGGAAATTAATCTATAAAACGAAATGAATTAGGCATAAGGGGGAAAACGTATTTACAAATACATATTTACAGGGTACAGTTAATATAAGTTGGGTAGGTCATGGAAACTCGGTATTGTGAAATTTCTTGAGTCACATTGTACTGATTTTATAAGGATGAGAAGCAATAACACTTCAGTTTAATCAAGTTTTGAAAGATGAAAATTGGAATTTATGGTTAATGAGTGGATTTACAGCAGAACAAATTTAGATCCTAATTCCCACACTGTAACAACCAAGTTTACACCGGCACAGGAATGTCATGGATTTCATAGCGAGTCCTAATGAGAACATCTAGGAATTGAGTAAGGGAAAGTGTGATACCCAGTTCTATTTGTATATGGATGCAGTGTGCTAAGTAGCAAAACCTCATCCGCAAAGCCCCGTAATTACCAACAAAAGGAGATATTAAAACATAACTTCCAACAAATAAACTCTCATCCTGTAAGCAACCCCACATGACAAATCTTTTGACAACATCATTAACAACTCCAAGTAGTTATCATCCTCAAGAATAAACATATCAACCTTGTAACGAACAAAGATAGATTAATTTCCTCCAAGCACGAATAAGTTAAGTAAACACCAAAAACAAAGCAGTAAAAGCAGCAAATTTCAATTAAAATCAAGGAACCCGGTAGAGATCTGGTGAAATCGTACAAACCCAGATGAATCCTCACCCAAAAAAAATCTAAAACATGCATCATTCGAAAAACAAAGGAGAGAGAATAGAAGAAACCTTGCAAGGCCTGGCCTTGATGACTATGTAACCATTCTTGCGAATGGTACCAGCCTGCTGAGGGTAGGTCTTGGAAGCCCCAGCATCGGCCTTGGATTCGAACTGGTGCTCCTCATCAGACATCTTTCTCTCTCTCTGTCGAGCTAAGTAAGCTTCTCTGTTCCTCTTCTTTTTCTTTACTACCAAAATAACGAAGAGGACGACTTCTGGTTCAAGGGGTGTGACGGGCTCTATATTCAAAGCCTTCTAGGTCATATCGTAACCCTAGTTAAGGAGATTAAATCCCCACCGTTGGATCAATGGTTAGTGTTTAGCCCCTCTTCATTCACTCTTCTATATACTTATCCAAAAAGAAAAGGAAAGGGAATTATCCATCCCTTCTTTTTTTTCCCTATCATTTTCAATTTTTTATTATCATCATGTGCCTAAAAACCATTGATTTTACTTCGATAAGTATTTTTAAAGACTCATTTTTAATATAGAAAAAAGAAAGCTTTTTTTATTTATTTCTGATTTTAAATTGTATTATTCCAGAAATTCGTGGTATGTTTAAAAAATTGTTACACATAGCTCACTTTGAACAACACACATCTCCCCTCGCCTCTTGTAAAGATGCCGCATTGGACCCGGACCGAACCAAAGAATCCGATGCCCGATGCATACAAAACGCTATATGGGCCCATCCAATTATTCCCGCAACAAAGCCAAATTCTTGGATACAAAAATGCTTATATTATTGCTTACATCTTATAAATTCAACACTAGATGAAGAATTTTGTTTATATGCCCCAGACATTACATACCCACAACTTGCGACTGAATGAAGAAATAATTTCACTTCACTACACAACATGAGCTAAAGAAACTAGCAAGCCCAAATTTGAGGACAGGGAAAATTTCACCATCATTCTGAATCCTGAATTCTTCCACTTCTTGTGGTTGGCTGAAAAACTATCATACTTTGAGCTGCCCCATACCCACACTAGGTAAAAGTAGGGAAATGATCCAAAGGGTAAAAGTTATGGTTAACAAATTACCAAAACATTATTAGATTTGGCTGAGACATGATAAAGCTGTAATAATCATGGTATATATGTGTGAAACAGATTGTGAAATAAACAGAAAAATAAAATAGTGACATAAAGCTGAAGAGATAGAGATAATCTTCAGCTCAGCTTCATGTTCATCCCATAAATTGATTCACCCACCAGGCAGGCAGGCACCAAACCAAAAAGCTAAAGCAAGCTGAAGCAATCATATATGCATATGCTTGCTGAAAACAAAAAACCAAGAAATTAGTTTTAGAAACAAGACAAGAATCAATGTGATGTATCCAAAAATGCTCTCTCTCTCTCTCTCTCTCTCTCTCTGTGGACCAGTACTTAAATAAGCTGCTGGTAATATAACACTGATGCTCCATGTGGAGTGACTGACTGTGAGGACAACAACATAAAGCCCAACAGACTTTTGCCTTCAATTTTTGCTCGCATGCAAATAAGAGGAGGTTATCTACACTACACACCTACGTACACTACCAACAATGTCTTCTTCTTTCTTGCGCATGTCAAAAGATACTGCAGGCAGTAGATATATGAAAACATGAAATCATTGACATTTGGGTTGGGTGGTCACACTCACACACATTGATACTCATCATAAGTACGCAATATGCTCACTTTTTCTTTCGGCTATTGTTTTTCTACGCTTGGCCAGATTGAACTTTAAAAACTCGAAAATGCTTCACAACCAAACCAACTATATTATATATTATAACCCATATTGAAAAGTATGATTATGACCATTCCAATTTCCATTCGGCTAGATATGATGCTGCTCTTCAATATATTGTTATTTATTATGAAAAGGTTATGCGTCTTCATTAACATATATAGCCTAATCAGTATTAATATTAAACCGTGGCTCGCATCAACTAATCAAACTCTGACTCTGAGAAGAAACATGCGCTTGCAAGTTATCATATCATGTATGCCTATATCTTTTAAACGGTGAAGTTGGTATGCATGGCATGCTGCTTCCATTTCTTCCTTCCTAGTGTCCATACCCCCTTTGTAAATTATAGTGAACATGCAAATTGCAATCAACATTAACAATCTAGGCCCATGTTATTTTCAATTATGCAGGAATCTCTCTCTCTCTCTCTCTCTCTCTCCCCACCCCCATACACATTCTACATCAGGAAGGACCATTGATATGAAATGAATACCACTCATCAATAGTTTGCCTCAACACAATAAAGAGACTTACAACAGCTAGCCAGCTGTCAGTAACAAATTCACTAGGTTGGACTTTGGCATGGAAGGAAGTAGCTAGGGGAGAGGGGACGCCTCCAATTTTCCAGAACATGGGTTTCATTTCATCTATCAATGTCATGCCAAAGCTCTTCAGCCTCTGTGACTCACCACTATGCATGCATATGCGTATTTGCACAAATTTATGCTCTAAGAAAAGAATGCATCTACAAAGTAAGTAGCACATATAGCATTCATGTCCGGGTCAGAGAGAAACATAAATCATATAACTACCAGTACCAGTGAAGATTTGACACATTGAACTAGTTTTGCTTTTAGACTAGATCAGCCTTCTCATTGAACCCAAGTAAATGAGATTCTAAGAAAGAAACTACATCTCAAATCAAACTCCTTTGTATAGATAAATTCCAACTTTAATGCCACAAAACAATGACAACACAAAGAGAACCGACATCAAAAGTCCAAACTGAATTTCCAGGGCTACTGTACAATTTCCCATGGAAGCAAAAAAAGAATCCATAACAGCCAACAAGAACAAAAACAAATAGGAAAGAAAAGCTAAAGAATAAACTCCCACATTTTCCTTTTTCAGCTTAATTTGTTCTTCATTGGTTACCTGTTTGTTCCATATCTTTAAGAAGACCGACTATCTGATGCATGCTCGGTCGCTTTAAGGGAAGGTCAGCTGTGCACAGATATCCAATCTTGAGCGCCTCCTCCATTTGGTCATCTGGTCCTGTATCACGAATTTTTGGGTCAATAGCGCTTGCTCCTCTGTTCTTTTTAACCAATCCTCTAACCCAGCTCACCAAAGTTGCATCTTTCTCCTCAGGATAATCATCACCAATTGGCTTTTTCCCAGTAATCAGCTCAAAGAGAACAACTCCAAAGCAATATACATCAGATTTTGGTGTTGGAGTATCATATTCTGGCTGAGAAAACTCAGGCGGCAGATACCCCGGTGACCCTCGAGAGATCTCTTCATCTAAACCATTGCCAAAAATCTTAGCCAGTCCAAAATCAGATAATCTTGGCTCCAAGTTATAATCCAGATAAACACTACTAGCTTTAACGTCTCTATGAATAATTGGAGGTGAGCAACCATGGTGTAGAAATGCTAATGCTCTCGCAGTGCCAAGTGCAATTTTGTGACGGAATCTCCAAGTTGTTAACAACCCTTCAGAACCAACATTTTGAATGCCATTGTTATCATCTTCTTCCCATGTATCTGTGCTCCAATCCTCTGTTGTCTGAACCCCAAGTGGCAAGTCATAAAGCAAATTCTGAAGGTTCCCATTCTCCATGTAATCATAGATAGCAATCCTTTGGTCCCCAGCTAAACAATATCCAGTCAATGGAACAAGATTGGGGTGTTTGATTCGACCAAGATACTCAAACTCTCTTGCAGTTTCCTGGTCTGTCAATGTAGAACCATGGACCAAAACTTTCACTGCTACATGAATTCCACCTGGAAGAAATCCTCTATAAACAGGCCCAAATTTCCCTTCAGCCAAAAGGGTTCCCCGGTCAAAATTTGAAGTTGCAGATAAGAGATCTGAGAATGTGAAATTCAGCAATGGCTTCTCAAAAATTACTACATGGACCAAAGTTGCTTGCTTAACATCCGCAACCCATGTAGTTGAATCAGTCTGGAATGAAAAGGGGCCTGATATATTTTGCTCTTCCTTGTATGAGGGTTGTTTTACTTCCCACATTCTGGTTTTCCTTCTGCAACCAAATGCTAGAAATAGCAAACCAGCAAGCAAGCATACCATTGAGAAGGTCAAAACCAAAGCAAGCTTTAGTCCCTTGTGCTTGTCCTTGGTGGCTCGTCTTCTTAAAAGTACCGGGTTCGCTGCAATGGGGCAGCTGTTTGATGAACCAAAGAAAGATGTTTGGAGGGTTTCAGGGGAGATTTCAGAAGCACAAAGTGTCAAATTATTGTAAGAGAAGTTGAACCTCTCCATCCAAGGGAGTTTCTCCAAGAGAGATGCAGGGATTTCTCCACTCAAGTTGTTGAATGAAACATCAAAAACTTGGAGATTTCTTATACTGAGTAATGGAATGTGGTCTATAAGATGGTTCTGAGAAAGATCAAGTGTATTCAAGTTACTCAATTTGGAAACCTCAGCAGGAATGCGACCCGTAAGACTAGTTTTAGACAAATTAAGGTATTCCAAACCCAAAAGCATTTCCATATTTCTTGGGAATTCCTGCCTTGAAAATCTATTGTCTGCTAGGTTAAGGTGTTTGAGATTCTGGGCTTGATTCCAATTATGTAAAATTTCTCCGCCAAGCTGATTTTCAGAAAGGTCTAAATAAACCAAATGAGACCAATTGTAGCTAGTATTGAATTGTACCTGAGAAATGTGACCTTGAAACTGGTTTCTGCTCAGGTCAACCACCTCCAACAGCTCGTTAAAGACACCTACTACCGAACCCTGAAACATATTCCCGGAAATATTAAGAGAAGTAATGGATTTCATCTCTGAGAAATCGGAGTCCCTGCCAGAAATCTCATTTCCAGCAAGATTCAATATTTGGAGCTTAGGAAATGCAGCAACAAAACCATCTGGAAGAGACCCATTTAACCGATTCGATGAGAGATCAATCCAAAACAAAGATTGGCAACTCACAATTCCTGATGGGATGCTCTTTTCAAACCAGTTTTGGCTGAGTTTAAGAACTCGCAGACTGACGAGGGAGCTTATAGCAGCAGGAATTTCACCAGAGAAATTGTTGTTGGAAAGGTCGAAGATTTCAAGTAGACCAAAGTTGCCAATGTTGTTTGGCAAGGACCCAGAAATCTGGTTATGGGAGAGATTAAGGTACTTGAGTGAGCCTAGACTCCACAAATCTGAAGGAAGACCAGTGATTTTGTTGTTGCTAAGTGCCAAAGTCTGGAGCTTGGTGAGCTTTCCAATAGTGGTATCAGGGATAGAACCAGAGAGTTCCGAACGAGAAACATCTAAGCCAATAACATATTCCTTTTTTGCATCACAGAATACTCCTTTCCATGAGCAAACAGGAGCAGAGAAGTTGTAGAGCTGAGAAGAGGACAAGCCCATCTTTTGCACGAACTGAGAGACAAAGAACCCATCTGTATTGGGTTGTTGACAAGCCAAAGGCTTCAAGAAAAGTGAAAACACCAGTAGGGAAACAAAGAAACCGAAACCCATTTGGAAAAAGAAAAAAAAAAGTAGTACAACAGGGGAAAAGGTGCTTCAAAGTTTAACCCAAACCAGCACTAAACTCCTCAAACAACCCCCTCCCTCTCTCTCTCTCTCTCTCAGAGCTTCAAAAGCAGCATTGTAGTATCATAAATGGTCTTGGGTCCATCTCAGAAGTACTTGCTTGGCCTCTGCAGCTCCATTAAATCCCACACGACCACCACCGCACAGTGTAAATCTGGTTTCGGGTTTCAAGAAAACATGATTGTTAGGCTAAAACTCTCCAAAAACAAGAAGTTACATGCAGAATTGGTTGGTTTATGGTCCTTTTCTTGCTAAGAAAACCCCAACACTGAATGACGGCAAATAATCAATAGGTGTAGCAGCACATGCATATAACAAACGGGTTCCCGAGAGCTACGGATTTCTGGTGTTTTCAGATGGAATGTGAGCTCATCTTGTGTGGCTTTGCTTTGCAGGTCGATGAAAGCAACAGAAACAAACAACACAAAAGAGGAAGCACTTTTGTCTCTGTGTAGAAGTAGAATATGAGAAGGGGAAGCTCTAGTTTTGTTGCATATATTTTTTTTCTGAAAAACAAACATAAAAAAACTGTCATGTATTCTAAATGAAAACAGAGGGGGGTTTTGTCTAATGGGAGTGTCAAGAAGACCGTGAGAGAGGCATTTAACAGAGGAGGGGTATATTGGGAAGGAAAGAACAAAGAGGCCAGACCGGGGTAGACAGGGGTTGGGCTTCATAAATGAGCAAGGTTTAATGGACATATCTATTTGGGTTGGTGACCTTTTTCTTGGTGGGGGAATTCAATGATTCTTCATTGAGTGTGTGTTGATAATTGATTCTTTTTCTATAATTGGAAGTCGGTTTTTTTTTTCTTCTTCCGATTGAATTGAAATCAAATTGGAAATTGGCAATTTGTTATTCAAAATGCTAATCACCGTCTTTTAAAGATCAAATATAATCCTACCAATTAATTATACAATTAATTTATATAGTGTTCAGATGGAGGAGACTGGTTTAGTAAGGAGCTTTTAATTCATATGTAGCCCCGGGGGTATTAATTCTTTTCCCGTTTTGATAAAGTACTTATACCGAAACAGGATTATGATTCAAATTTTGGTGCAAAATGACAGACTCACTCCCAAAATAACAATTTTTTAAAAAGAATTTCTAGTTATTTTTTAAATCAAAAGAGATTGTCTTTTTTTTTTCTTTCTAGTAAAAGATAATTTCACACGGTGTGGTGCGGTTGGCAAACTGCCACCTCTAGTTGGCGAGCTATCTGGTGCCTCAACGGTTAGGGGTTCAAAATCCGTTTGAAGCACTTTGTAGCCAGGAGCAAGTCGAATCCCGAGTGAAGATTAATCTCACCCTTCGGGTGTGGGGACACCTCATAGTATTTACCAAAAAAGAAAGAATTTCTAGTACTGCCCGGCCCTTAAAGATGTTTACAGTTGATTAAATGATGAGAAGTATTACAATCAAAACGAGTTCATGCTGCTCATTTTGTCAATACAGTTGATGGCAATTTTTCTCAATCAACAGTGATAATGGGACTGCGTTTTTCAATGGATTAGCTAGAACCTAGAATTGCTAGTGTGAGGTCAGGTAAGGTGAGGGTAGCGTTTTGTTGACTTCAACAGTTGAAAAAGGTTCTCCCAAGCAAGTTCCACCCATTTTCTTAGACAAGTGAAATATGATTTATCCACTAACCCACCTGTGATTTCACCATTAGTACATGGTGTGGGTGGGTCTAGGTGGGCCATCACAGTTTTTTTTTTTTTTTTTTTTTGTATATTTGAGGAGAAGCCATCACAGATTATAATTATAAATCAAAAATGGAATTATTTATTTGTACAGCTACAGTCTACAGAGGTAATTAGCACAGTCCAAAGCAAGTTGAGAGCATAATAATGTGAATTTGAAGCTACTCTAATGACTAATGGAGTTGATGATTGAGAAAAAATCCAGGCTCTGTTTCTCCATACCTCCTTCCATGATGCACTTTTGTGGTTGTGAACTTGTGCTTGCATCATGGAAGTTCATCATGATTAATAATCTTGTCATGCCCCTGATTTGGACACCTGGCAGGCATTAAAGAAATAATTAAACTTAAGGCACATGACAATTATAGACGACCCTTGTTCTAACTTGTAAGTTGCAGTGGACAAAGAAAATCCAAATTTAAAACAAATACTAGAGATAGATTGATAGAGATATGGTGTTTGTTTGCACATGGGCAACTTGGCAAGCGTCTCCCTTTGTCAAGACCCGACAAGATGGAAAGTGGAGGAAGATGCTTCAAGTCGTAATGATTTGTATTAATTGGGGGCTTAAGGAGATAATCATGCATCCTTCCTTCAGCTGCAAGCTCATTCCTTAGACAAAGTTCAATCAAATCTAATGCTTTTGACCACACCAAAAAAAATAATTATATCAAATCTACGTTTGGCAGATAATATTTTTATTTCATTTTTAAATATCCATTCTACAATATCAATCAAAATCAAACGGACTCATTAACTCAGCTCACAAACGTCCATGACAAGGAAGGTTGCACCCTCATCCATCCTCATGTACTCCCAAGTAAATATAAAGTTAAAAGTCAAAACCATGTAATTTATTTAAGTATCTTTTCTGCATCATCAGACATTGAAATGTTTTGCTCAACACTGAAAAAAAGTGGACAAAGCTTTATTATCATACTAATAACCAAAATTTCATACGCTAACAGTACCAACACAACACACTCTTTTATAAGTATTCCAAAAGTACTCCTGCTTATCTATTGTAGGAGACCAAAAACATTATAAAAAAAATAATAAAAAAAAGATTATTGGTATCTCTGAAAGACTGAAACACATGAGCCTTCAGCAAATGAAGCAACTATCCTTCCATGAGAAATGCTCCCACAGGAATAAGATACAGTCCCCTGCCCTGAGCTCTCTTCCTCTCCAACAAAAATAACCCAAACACAACATATAAAATAATCCTAACGCTCTCTCCCCCCCTCTGCTCTTGCTTACAATTTCTCTCAACTGCTACAGAAAACAAAACAGCAGGCAGACCAAGAATCTGTCTGCACAAGTAGTCTACTTCAATCATATCCTGACTGGGTGATTTCCAGAATCAAACCTCTCTATCCTTGCCTTCTTCAACTGTGATCTCTGGGTTGCAATCCTTTGGAATGGATTTGGCCCTCCAGAGGGAAGCTTGGATTGCCTTACCTTCTTTCTCTTTCCCCTATCATATTCTTCATCCCTGCATCAAATTGAAATCCACAACTCGTCAGAAGACTTTATATATGTAGTGATTTATCCAGTGAAAGTAATGCTGATATCACTGATAGTTATTAGTTTCACAGTCCTAAGCTCGATTCAATAAACAATTCAAAAATCATCACAAGTTCATTATTTTTTAATGCGAAACAGAAGATCATGTTGCACTCACTGAACTAATGCGAGCCAGCCAAACATTTCTAATTCTACAAGCCTGTTGACGTATTATTTAAAAATTAATATTTTCGGTAATTGGTAATCAAGACTCGTAAAGCTGAACCTATCTGTTTATATGATCCAGGTAAGGAATAAAGAATCACAGTAGGGAAGATAATGAAGGTTAGCAAACTATTAACCCAACCCCTGTTCTACTGCAATAGAATTAATGATTTCCAATTTACTTTTCAACTAAAGCTCAAGATTCAAGGCCATTTCCAATGTACCTTGGAAATAACCCCACAAAGAAAAGAAAAAGGGATTCCAAACTCACCAATCATCTGGCATATAACCGATGCTGACACTCTTTGCATGGCTTGATTCTACAACATGAGAAGGAGGCAACTCTATTCCATCCCAACGTTCAACTGCAATCAACAAATTATAACCATAATAACGTTAGGTAAGCAATAGTCAGTTTCAATGGGCTTCAATTCCATATTTTATAAAACAGAAGGAAAACAAAAAACAAGAAAAGTAACCAAGAACTTGGAAACTACAAGTTCTATCCAGCATTCACGACTAACGGACCAACTGGCAAAAGTGAAGCTCAATTTGCCAATCAGAACCATGGCCTTAATGTAGAAAATATCCACTCTGCCCAAATATAAGGTCAGGAGGGAAGAGTTGCTAGATAATCTACTCACCAACTGTCTCATGGAGACCTCGGGTCAGCGCACCAGTCCATCCATTTTGCATTTTGTCTGTTTTACAATTGCTTGGGCTATCAGTTCCCCCCGTCTCCCGCTGGTTTTCCATTGAGCAAGGGCTAGATCCACAACCATTTTCTAGTCGTTTATCACTTGCAAGCACTGTACCATTCTGATGATGACCCTCCCTACACTCTCCATTTTCAGCAGTTCCATCTGCATCCTTTTTCAAGCCAGATTTGGTTCTCTTTCTCTTAGACTTTCGTTTAGAGAGGGTAGAAACCAAGGAAATTGATTGGGTTTTCTCAGATGTTGATGGCCCCAGATCAGATAAGAAGCGAGAACTGTCCATTAAGTGTTCCTTACTAAGGGTCTGGGTATCTGAAGTTGGGTGCTTACTCCTTTTGTGTTTCTTCTTCTTCTGTACACTTAAGACTGCTCTGGAGAGTAGGCTTCCCCGTAAATGCATGCATGCCACCTTAGACTTCATCTGCTTCTTTTTCAATTTTCTATGGCGTTTGCAATCAGGAGCTTTCACATGTAACAATCCATTTGTCACAATTGATGAGCCAGACAATTTTACTGACTCATCAACAACCACTTTTTGGCCACAACTAATTGTCTTCTCACCCAAGAAATGACCAGCAGCACCTTCATTGTTAAGACTTCCAATCTGGAATAGAAAGGGAGTCAAATCATGACAACACAACCCAGCATAAAGGCAAGGATACACAAATAACACAAATGAATACCTGACTAATTTTCGAGCTTGGTTGATCTGAAGATTTGAAAGTCTGAATTCCCTCCATTTTCTTACCACTACGAACCCCAGATGAACCCGTACGCGAATCTCCCAGAGAGGGAATAATATTATTCTGGATGCAAAAACAAGTTTAGAAAATCCAAGCACAAAACAAAAGTAAAATCTTTAGGAGGTGAAACTAGACACTAAAGCGCACGGAAGATATGTAGCATCCACTTACATCCTGAGAGGTCTCATCTGGAACGGGTTTAGCAGCCACAAGGCTTTCAGGGTCCTTGACATTGGTTGCTATGACAGTGGAAACACCACTGTTTTCAATTGAACTTCCTCTCTTATTAAGATCATTTTTATTGGCATCAGTTGTTGCAGCAGTGGCATTTTCAGGATCAGAAGCACCACCATTGCTGCTTGGAAAGGAAGATGATTGTAGCATGTCTTTTCCCAATTTTGGGTTTGGAAGGGAAAGTTCTTTCAGCGGGTCCTTTGATAATGACACTTTTGGAATAGATTCTGAAACAGATTCCTTCATAGGCACCATATTTTCTGCCGTAATCTGGCTTTTAACTGATGCTTCCTTCAAAAGGGGCACCAAAGGTGGAACAATATTTGATTCATCTTTTTGTATCACAACAACAGAAGAGGCTAAACCACTTGCTCTTCCCTCAACAGAAACATTTTGAACCAGTTCTTTGGAACCTTGGTTGGTAGTGGAACGATTTTTAAATCCAGCACTATTGAAATTCTCTTTTCGAGCAACTTCAACAGGCTTCCTTGGTATTATGTTTCTTCTATCCCGAACATAAAACAACATGTAAGCCTTCTGCTCTA